GTGGTTGTAGTAGTAGTAGTAGTAGTAGTGGTGGTGGTGGTGGTGGTGGTGGTAGCAGTGGTGGTAGCAGTAGCAGTAGCAGTAGCAGTAGCAGTAGCAGTAGCAGTAGCAGTAGCAGTAGTAGTAGGAGGAGGAGGAGTAGCAGTAGCAGTAGCAGTAGCAGCAGCAGCAGCAGCAGTGGTGGTGGCAGTGGTGGTGGCAGTGGTGGTGCTGGTGCTGGTGCTGGTGCTGGTGCTGGTGCTGGTGCTGGTGCTGGTGCTGCTGCTGCTGCTGCCGGTGCGGTGGCGGTGGCGGTGGCGGTGGCGGGGGTGGTGGTGGTGGTGGTGGTGGTGGTGGTGGTGGTGGTGGTGGCGGTCCTCGTCGGAGTGGACAGACCTAGCTCGAGATACTCCTGAAAGATGCGTGCCTGCACGCTGCGGCGACGCAACCTGGAGGGCACGCCGGGGATGCGCAAGCTGTTCTGTTGTCGTCTAAGCTGGCTGTCGATGCCACACTGCAGGGAGACTCACACGAACTACCCGGGTCGGCAGACGGCAAGCCCCACAGTAAATAACAGCAACAAGTAACAAGGCCAACAGCCAACAATGGTCATTCATAACCATAAACAGAGAGGCTACGCAAAAGGCATTCGAGATGTGGAAGCAGTCCCTCATGAAGACCAACAACCATGAACAAACTCCTGAGATAGAAAAGGAGTTGAGCAAGTGGTCATCAAATTTATGGGTTTGTGACCCCAGACTCTAGGACTGTCGGACGAGGTTTGAGTTTACACTCTCACTCGTGCTGTGCCAGATGAGGTTCTCGGTTGGAAGTACTGTCGGCATCAAGCACTCCAGACAGTTTCTCTAGCCCCCCTAGACCCTAAACTCTTCGACGTATAGCCTCATTGCTCTGGGCGCCAACTCCCACCCAAACCAGAAACCTAGAGCCCCGTTAGACTTTGACTCTGCCAGACGTACGGAACTCTGCTCTCATGCAACTCAAAGGTTCAGGGGAGCAGACGCGCAGAAACGCGACGGTAGACCAAGAAGGTATCAGGACTATGCGCTCGCAAGTCACAGAAAACAGCGATCGAAATGAACTTCCGAAGTCAACCGGAAGCCAACCCCGCAAGACGCAGACACCAAGAAAGGTCCAGCAGTCTAGATCACCTTTCTAGCATCAGCTGCGAAGCACCCTAAGGCATTCAGCAAGCAACGGACCGCAGCGGACCACACAGCAAAATCACAGGCCGGAGGCAGATGGTACTCTTTCGGCATAACTAACGAAGCGCACTAGGCAGGTGTGACTTCGCACGTCGCTGTCAAGTCAGCCCGGGTGTGCTTTGAGTTTAGGGCTTAGTGTAATGGTCGGCAACTTATCCGGAGATTTTGGACCCCTACAAACACACGCCACAACCGCAAAAACGGCTAGTCCTGAAGACCCAGCTTCGCTTTACCCTGGTCATGGGGCTACAGTATCACCGATGCATCAAACATCATCAAACAGTTCGCCGTGCTTTTCGTCATCGTTGTCGAAGTCGTGTCTGAAGCTGCGGGAAGACGATCGGAGGTGACTAGCCCGAACAGAACCCTCCTGAGAGATAGCGATGGCCACCCTGGGGGTCTTGCAGGATTCAGGAGAGCTGCAGGTGGCTTTGCTTAGCCCGTTTTCCCAAGAACGATGTCGGCATGCAAGCCTGGAACGCTCCAAAGATCCGCGCCTGTATGCTTAGTACTGCTCTGTGTGATGCCAGAAACGCCGCAGATAGGCCTTCTTTACCACTGCCACCCGTGTTGTAGCGCTGACTGAGTTCGCACGATTTTAAGATTCGCGTGTCAAGAAAAGCAACTCAGCTAAAGTCGCGCTTCATTTCATGACAGCCTTTCCGATTGTCGTTAGTCGCTCCACCCCACCAGTAACAACTCGTCATGTCCACCTCGGAATACGAGGAATGTTAACTGTCCATAGAGCCCTAAACCCTAAAGAAACTCCGACAGAATATAGGGCCATAATCCACAGAACAGGGGATATGTGATATGATGGAACCCGAAAAAATTTATCGGCAACTATTCCGACCTCCTTTTTGTAAGCATAGCAGCTCAGGGTCGCCCCATCACGAGCATACAGTGCATAGATGCTTCGGAGTTACGTAAAAAAAATCCGGGTCCTGACGATGCCTTAACCGAATCACCCCGATACCTGACCAACATGTCCCCCTGCCTCTGCATCAGCCTTTTTTTTGCATCCGGGCTTGGGATGTCGGCGGGGAAAGTTACCCTAAAACCCTAAACCATAACCCTAAACCCCTAAAACCTAACCCTACACCCTAAACCCTAAACCCGAGCCCTTCGACTAACCCTGAAACTCGTCTCCAACCCGCCTGGAGGATGCGGCGCGGGCTGAGAGGCGAGAAACCCGGAACGGACCTCTGAGAAATCGGGATGGTCTGATGCAATGGGTCAGGGTTCTAGATTCTGTTTCCCTCCCACATAGCAAGGACGAGCCCGCATTGCAGGGTAGTTCGGGTAAACAGCGTTCTAGATTCTAGGATTCGGGTTTTGGGGCTCCGTGGTTCCAGCGTTTTGTGGCTCTGGGGCTTAAGTTTTGATTGAAGGGCCCCCTTTACGATTTAGGGTGCAGAGGGTCCTCTAGTGACTCTAGTGTTGCTGCCTAATGCCTGAGACCTGAGACACAAGCTGCGTGGTCGAAAGCGGTCCCAACCCTGATCCTTTTTTAGCTGACTGCACGGGCCAGTCTGGTGCTGGCCTCCTCGAGGATTGGCATTCGTCACTTGCAGAGAGCGCAGTGTGCCAACATGTGCCAACACAACCGACTTCTCGCAGACCCAGAGGTGGTTTAGGTTACGTGCTGACATATGTGCATACATGCATACATACATGCATACATACATTACATACAGATAGATGTGTGTATCTACACATATATATATATAGTATGCGTGCGTATATGAAGCCATAACGCACCGTAGAGATAGAGTTTCTCGATGACACTTCAGCTTGAAAACATCAACCACTTTGGGCCGTGCACCTCAACCGGCTTTCGTTTCTCCGAAATCGGGAGGGGTGAAGGATGCTGCCGAGTAAGCTTCTCGACTCGATCGCACCATGTCATGCTTGGGCGACTCTTTTCGAAGGGTCGAGGGACGAGCACGGCTGCGCTTGAGTTGGCCATTCTCATTTTAACCAAACATAAGCTTAATTCTACCAGGGAGCAGTCATGTCTAGACTAGATCTAACTATGAGTAATCATCCGAATATAGACCCTGACTAGTAAGCCCCCCCTTTTCAGCACTCACAACTGGGACAAGCCAGGGGCCCTCATATTGGCATCATCTTATACTCCCGTTTTAAGGTAAGGGGTTGACTAATCAGGGGGTCTTTTTGTCAGCCGAAAGAAACTCCCGGGAACAAAGCCCGAGGAAAGGAGGAGATCCTCATCGTCGAGGGGCAGCACCTGCACACTCTTGGCCTCCTAACTGTAGCAGTGAGACACATTGTGCTATCATTATATCAAGGAGTATAAGTGATAAGCCTATAGTAACTATTCCACCCCCCATATATATATATATATTATCCAAGGGACTCGGCGCTCACACTCGGACTGATAGGTCTATAGAGTCTATTGAGTCACGAAGGGCCGATCGGCAGGTAAACAAAACCCACATAATTGAAAATTCAGCGTCGCCTATCACCCGGCACCCTCAGAGCTACCCATGCAGTGGTGGTGGTGGTGGTGGTGGTGGTGGCGGTGGCGGTGGCGGTGGCGGTGGCGACAGTGGTGGCGGTGGTGGTGGTGGCGGCGATGGTGGTGGCGGTGGTTGTGTGAATGTTGTGGCGCTTATGAGATTATGAAGTGACAGCGCTTGTACATTGTCGGGGCAAGGGTCTTTAGCAGCAACAGCAAGTTTCCCGAGAATTGGTGCACCACCGTCAGTAGAATAACGTGGAGCAGCCCTAAAGAGTCCCCGAAAGCTTTTGAACCCGGTGCAGCAGAAACAACCAGATGACGCACGCAACACTGTTACAGCTTCGAAGCACGCCCGCGGAACCACCGGTCCTAAATCATACTCATATATATATATGTATATCGAATTGCATAAGAATATGTATCTATATATATATAGAGAGAGAGAGAGAGCGAGAGAGAATTATATATTATTCTCTATACATACATACATACATACATACATACATACATACATAATACATACTAACATACATACATACATACATACATACATACATACATATGGTTCCATGTATTGAGTCCGTCAGTTCCGGGTTCGGGAGTTGGAGATATTGGGACGTGGGGTCGCCGGGCGGAAACGGCATGTGTCCATGAGTGAATTTTCAGCACGACTACCGGTCTATCTTTCACCGACCGGAGGGCCCCCATCGCATGGTTGGGAGCACGCATGCATGCGGGACTTGACCGAAAGGTGACGGTTTCGCGGGATTCTCAGCTGTTAAACTCCACATCCCTGGCCAAAACGGAAGGCATGCAGTTGCCTTCTGGAAAACCTGAGACGCTACCATCACCCCAACGCCTGGCCGCCTGGCCTCCAGAGGCAATAGAAGACTAAGCCGCGCTAGGGACACGTCCCAGCCGAGATCATCACAAAGCTGGTCCTGGTTTCGACGCAAAGTGTGTACTGCTTCTATCAGACTGTTCGCCTCGTGTAGCACACGGTGTCTATCACGGCAGGCAGGATTCTGATTCAAGCTATAGAAATTAAGCCAACTGAAAGCAACCCGATGGATTAATGTTGGTAATTATTCGAGCTTCTAGATGTTGTGCCTGTGTCTGGTGCAGGCACCACGAAGGATCCTTCAACCAGCATTGCTAAGCGAAAGCCTGATCCTGTATCATGTCTTTCGAATTCTGGTTTGGGAATTAAGGGGCTCACATGTCCTTGATCATGGCCACGGTGGTCGATGTCGAGACGGACATGAGAAGTGTCTCCTGCGAATCCAGAAATGGGCAGGCTCCGAAAGTTCCCTTCAGGGTTTAGGGTTTGGGGGGTTTAATATGTCCAGGGTCTTAGTCTCAGTGTTTATATAGCATCTAGGGTTTAGGAGATCACGGGAATGGTCGGCCGTTCCCGTCTGTCTGCAGCATGGTCAACAAGGGCATGCTAGGAGCTTGGCGGGCTCTTCTCGCAAGCAGCGCCTAGGTCCAAGAGCCCAAGATATGTGTTAATCGTGGTTCGTCGATCTCGGAATCAGGGAGGTTTCCGTCCGAGGCAGCTTCGATTTGGATTTGGCTGCAAGCCCGGCCACGGACCCAGTCCTGGCCGCACTGCACCGCAACATCCACGGTCTTGCCTTTCACAGCCGTGACGACCTCCGCAGCTGATCTGCTTCAGGCTTGGAGTTATTAAGGCCCCTAAACCGTAAACCCTATACTATTAAGGGCCCTACATTCCTTACCTTGGGGCATTGAGATGTATTGAGAAGCATTGAGCTTCGAGTTCGACTCTCACGGCTCGGACTATAATGCAAAGTAACTATTTGCCGACAGCAAAAGAGTGGCAATCCGATCACCTCGAAGAACTAAGGCCAATTGCCGACAATGGCCCTGGAGAAATAAAACGCAGCAATGGTGCACTAGAGGACTGTGCAGTAACTAGAGTACAATGTACTCTAATAAGTATCATGTAGTATAATGATTATACTGCAGTACAATGTTTTACAACAGTGTATTCTCGCACGATATAGGAAAGATAATGCAAAGAAGCACACTTCGCAGACACTTTCACTTGACCTCATTCTACTCTCGGCAGGGCGGCTAGGGGCTCGCCGGAGTAGGTGCAATAGCTGCGCAGCGGCTGCCTCCCAGCCACAGGATCAAAAGATTGGGGTCGAACATAATCAGCTCCGCTCTGACGGTTTCACACTCCCGACCGATTCGAACCGTCCAATCTTCATGGACATCTCGGAAAACTCATAATGCGAATAATTCTAATGAGAAACCGGAAGAGATTGGGACTCCTCGGAAAGTTGGACCTTCCAGGAGCTGGCCTTGTACTAGTAGCTTAGAGGGTTCCTTATGGGGTTCCTTGAAGGATTGTGTGCGGGATCTAGAATACTTGGGATGAGGGAGCGGTTTTCATGTCTAGCTGCTAGCTCATTCCCAGGCAAGTCCTCGAAAGCAAAGGCCGCTGCTTACGACTTTTTCCTCCCTACTTAGCACTTACAGCTTTACGGGTCCAGGGTTTAGGATTGTAAGAACTTCTGGTTTTGGAGATCTCCACTTCTCTTCGATCTGGGATTCTACTTGAACGGAAGTCGTTCCCTAAATCTTAGACCCATAGCCCGGTCCCGAACCTCAAACTTCCAGAACTCATAGCCTGTCATCCAAGATCGACCGGCCGGTTAAAAGCTTCCTGGGATAGTGGGTCGTGGGTCAGCTTGAGGAAAGGCACATATGTCTGTAATGGTAGAATCTAATACACATAAGCAGATCTAGATAAAGGTACGGGGTGAACGAATCTTTATAACATTACGTGTTGCAAACATGCTGATATGCATGTGCAGGTGGACACATCCTCCCATCTGTCTCTTGGTTGTGTGTATGTGTAACGGTGTATGAATATCTATCTATATATATATATACATACATACATACATACATACATACATACATACATACATACATACACATATACATATATACATATATATACATATGTACATATAGATATATATGTATAATATATATATATATATACAACCATGTAGCCTCACACACATGCTTTCGGAAGCTTGTCAGGACGCATGTCCTGCTTCGCCTATCTGGCAAACTTCTACTACTGCAGGCTTAGCTGTCGGAAAACCGCATAGGACGATGCCACGGGGAAGATCACCCAAGGTAGCAGCTAGAGACCGACCGTCTCTCCGTGCTCCTCCTGTCTGGCTGTCTGCTGCATCCCAGCTTCATTTCGGGATCCTCGTAGGCGCCCTGGCCATTTCTGCAACCATAAACCGCAAAACTCTCATGCCATCTGTAGGATTCAAGATGCAGGTTTGAGGCTGCCAAGCTACCGGATGGGAGTGAAAGCTCAATACGGGATGGCTACTGAAACGAGCAACATTTTAGTTCTCTTTCTTGCTTGCTTGCTTGGGGTACGGGCTCTCGTAAAAGCCCCGGCCCGAGGGCGAACCCCCCGCAAAGGTTCCCGGCTAGTTCTGTCAATGTGGCTCCTTCCGGGGTTGAGACTCGTTCCCCTGGCTGGCTGAACTCTGTATCCCCGGACACAAAAACACACCTCCTAAACCATCACCGTGTAAACCTCGAGAGCTCTAGCCAGGTCAGCCGAGGTCTCCAATCCCTGAATGACCTAGCTTTCAACTGCGGCCACGACGACGCTTGTGCCGGATCTGCGACACCTCTTACGCACTTCCGAGCGAGAACTCCGTTGCCTCTTTGGGGCGCTGCCATCGCTGAATCTCATCCCGCAGGGTGCGGACGCTGGCGTTCAAGGGGAGCCGGGTGGTGCCCACCTCCAGGGAAAGTTTAGGGCCTATAGATTTCTAGATATTTCTAGTATGAACAATTGGAACCAATTGGATTGGAGGCTTTGGGGGATGGAGTCTCCACGCAAAGGGAACAGAACTTTTTAGGGAGATCGTCAGAGCTCTGTTGAGAGATCTCTGCTGCTCCAGGTTTCAGCACCCACAGCAGGGGACCGCTAGGTGAGGATTCGAGTTCGACGACATCTCGGCGCAGCACCGGAGCTCTAAAGTTGCTTTAGGTTTGCCCCACTGCTTTAAAGGTTTCGGGTTGCCGTTTAGGGTTTAGGTGGTTGAATCGAGGTTCGTGATGCAAGGCGACGTGCATCCGGAGTCTGCCATGCAGCTACTTAAAGCAGAGGTGGGAGGGTACGTGTGTTCCCTGGCAATTCAGTACCGACCACAACATAACATGGCGTTCCCGACAATAAGCTCAACAAGCCCGGAACAAACGCCCACAAGCGCAAGGGTTCGCAGTCTTGCAAGAGCCTTCGTCCCGGCCAGTGTTTGCACTTCCACGACCTTGCCATCAAATAAGCTTTAAGTTATAACCTTTCCTTGTCGAACTGCCCGCAGCCCGAAAGACCTCTATAAACCCGTATAACACCCTGAGACAACCATATATAACGCCCGTGAAAATTGCCATGTAAAGAACCCTATGACGATGCCTTTATCCAAAACCGACTAAAGCCCGCATTAGCCATGTGGGCCGAAACCAGTTGGCCTAACCTGGGGACTCACACAAACTTCTTCTAGGTATATGATTATTCTCATGTGCTTTGCATTGCTTGGGGTCAGAGCTAGGGGAAGGCCCCCCCAGCCCGTGCGTTAGCGCAAATCCCGTCTTATTATTAATACGGAAAAATCATCATCATCATCATCAACATCAACATCAACATCATCATCATCATCATCATCCTCTCTCTCTGTCTCTCTCTCTCTCTCTGTCTGCCGTTGCATGCTACTTATTATGTCAGTTTACTATGATTGTTCTTGCTACTACAGTTTTTGCTAGTGTTATACGATGCCTGTAATTATTGACTATAGGGGGATAATATGACTAATCGTTGGAAGCCGACCCAACTTCACGAGATGGCTTTACTTTTGACAAGACATCAACTCCAAGCACTCACTTAGAACTGGGTTCAGGGTTACCGGCTAATGCAAAGGGGGAGGTCAATGCAGCTTGAGATCCCAAAGTTACAGCGCCGAGCAGGCAGGATCAAGAGCTCTGAGCTCAGCTTTGACAAGGCTTTGCCAATTAAACTGGGTGCCTGCGCCATTCGCCCTTGACCCGACCGCTCTTCGAAACGGAACACTTGGTGAAAGCCAAAACCCCGAGCGAGTAAGTCTAGCCGGTCCAGGTTGGAGGGTTGGTACTGCAGCTAAAGAACCATCTCCTCCTCGGCCGCTGTCGACATGTCATGCGGGCAAGCGGGCTCGTCTCACGGACTGTAGCTTGGCCACGCTATGGCTTGTCAAGGATACGTGGCTAGCCACGATCAACAGCCATCATTGCCCTAATTGGCCCTACAGGCATCCTGCGTTTCCAACCAGGACAATCAATAACTTCAATCTAAACTTGTCCGACTGCTGTTGTGTGGCAGTGCGGACACCTCTCGGTTTACTGTATCGTGAGCCGATGGTCTGCCAGAAAGTTGTGCACTTGCTACATGTCGCTGATCGCAACCAAGGTCGAATCTATCACTATGGTTGAAGTCTGTCAGGCATGCGCATTGCCAGTGTGCAAGCTTGAAGAGCCGAAAGCTTGATCGCGACATAATATTCTGTACGTCCCAACCTATGGACGCAACAGTGGACAAGAGAGCATGGAATAGAAAACAATAGAAGCAGCATGCACCCTTTAGAGCCTTTCCCGCGTGAGAGCAGGCTGTAACCCAACGCAGCCGCCAAGATCTCCCCTGTGGGCCACACCCGGTACTTTGTGAAGGCACTTCTGTGTACTTCGACCTTAGCCGTATGGCTCGTGTAAGCAAATTCAGAACGAGAGATTCTCGTAGATCAGATGCCGCAGCCAGCGCGAGGACAAAGGCATTGCGAATTTCGGTTTGCCAGTCGCTTTGCTCTGCAACACGTAATTTTGATTAAATGTACAGTGCTGAAGCTGCTTCCAGAAGACGAGTTAGCAGCTTCCCTTGGCTGAACCTTGGAAGCCCCAGGTCGCTGCAAAGCCGGCTATGGCAACGAGCATGTCCTTCACGGCTTCCCGACCATGTCAGGGTGGAAGTCGCACCCCTGCAGTCCCACGTCTGAGATGCGCGCGGGATGGCCGGAACGACTGTTGCCTGCCACAACGGAATCAGGCGGAGCCAGACCAGCAGACTCATAGCAGGATCGGGCGAAAGTTGCTTCTGTCCACAAACTTGCCCACGTACTCGCAGGCATGCCAACGACATTAGTCTGACTTGTTTCAGGTGGTCGGAGTTCGACATACTTCATAAGAGGACACGGCCACTATAGAAGTCGGGGAGCGGACATGAGCCGGTTGCCTGACAACTATATATATATAAGTATAATTATAATTATATAAGTAACTGAGCACAGAGACCAGGCCAAGGCGACCCTACTCCAAACAGGACGGGCAGTCCCTGTAGATGATATGAGGACTTAGCACAAGGTGGCAGGAATCCTAACAGGCGCTTAAGTCCTCATGCCGACACGCCGTCAGATGACTGCTGGCCTCTCGCACCTCCTCTCCAGTGAAGCCGGAATGCATACCTTGAGGCGAAAAGCTGAAGGGAACTTCCCAACGTCGGCGTGCAGGGAAGGGCAAAGTCGTACTGGGAACCGCGCGTGGAAAATCACCCACTGGCGGGTCTCTCGGCAACCCCAACATTAGCTTCAGTGTTAAATATTGATCGGCTGGGGATTTGCTGTTTTGAGTCTCCGAATCGCAACTACCAGACTTGACTGGTTAGGTTTGTGATATGTTACAGGTAGGAGCAATAAGAGGAATTACTGGTACTATCAGCAGTACAACAGTACGAGTACTAGCCTAGCAGGAGGAGGAGGAGGACGAGGTTACTATGACTGTCCGCAGGGATGGTGGTGTGTTTTGGGCATTGGGTAACCCTAAACCCTAAACCCTGAACTTTACATGTGGCTGGCTGGCCTGTGGGCCTTCGCGGGATTTCGCGGGTGCCTTGTCCCTCCTTGGTGTCCAACCCGCAACCTAATCCTTAAACGAGGCCACGCACATCTACCAGCATCTATTATGCAGTTGCAGTACTGACACCGACAAGTAACGCTCCACTTTGCAATACTTGTTGATGGAGGTTGCTGTGAGGCCTGCTGACCGTGGACACAACAACTGCCCCTCCAAGTCCTGCTCGAGCACACGTTTTTCAGCTAGACGCGCTTGCTGCACAAAGGACAGGTTCTACTCTGCTGCGTGAGCCATCTGTCCACGCAGTCGCAGTGAAAGCGATGCCCGCATTTCAGTACCCGGAGCTCGTCTCCTGAGCTTGGCAGCAGCTTCAGAATTCAGCTTTGTGTGGGGGATGCGCAGCCGTCTGGACAAGAACACGCTACCTGCTGCACGGCTGTGGCGAGAGATGACTGAGGTCCAGTCCACTCTCGTAGTTTGCCAGGCAGACCTGACAGGGACACGACATTCTGCATCTTAATTCGAAGCCTTCGAGCACTTCACAAAATGCTTTGTAGCCAATAAGCTGCTTGTATGGGTTATGGTGACCATGACAGACCTCTGCTATTGTTGCTCCTGCTGTGATACCCATATTCTCTGTTTGCAAACCTTTAGCTATGAAGATGGTTTTGATCGTTGTGGTTGTTGCAACAAGGGCTGTTCTGGGAAGGAGGGCGATATTTGCTAACGAGTTTCTATCGATTTCGCACCGGTTTCTCATATGTACATGTGACTCCATTTGACTAGGACTCGAAGCTAACAGGAACCCACTGAAGAGTATGGGCCGTTTCGGCGGCTGTGGCTTTTTCCAGAAAATCGAGATCAGGAACACGATCCAGAGTGGACCTCGTAGAAACCGGCCACGCTCTAGCTGTATGTGGCTTTGGCGGTCATGTCAAAGCGGCTCCCTCTTCTGCATTAAGCACGTTCGGCGCAAATCCAAACTTGAATCCTGGCCCGATACGAATTTGTTAAAATGAGTGCTCGAAAGAAGCCTTGCAGAACCCCCAACTCCGCAAGACTCCGAAATGCCAAAGCAATGCCCAGGTGCGGCGCAGCTGATCCCGGAGTCACCTGGCAGGACCGGAGTCCCAACCACACCACTCTGAAAACCCATGATCAGGGTTTAGGGTTTAGGGAGTTTCGACTCTCACACTCGCACTGGGCAGGCTAGGCTCCACACAATCACGTCACGCCGAGAAAACCCCAAGCATGCCGTCAACCGGCAGCCATCTAAGACAAAGAGCCTCTGGAACCTGTTAATTAGGAATTATTATGAAGTATTAGGCTGTGTCACAGGAATATCTGTTCTCATGGAGCTACAACTGATTAAAGGCCGTTAGGACACCAAAACAGAAGCTGATAAGGTTCCTTCAGCTCCGAGTACTGGCTGGCACACACCTTCCCGCCCTCACCCGCTCCAAGATCACCCCACATCGACCCTTTTGAACCCAGACTCTGCCGATCAGCTGGGGAGCAGCACTGCATGACATCAACCTAGACTTCTAGGTAAACCCAAAACCGTGCAAGCTAGCATGGAGGCCTTGAAGGTTTTTGTTGTGTAATTATTGCACTACAATGATATCGGGGATATAACTGGTTGATTGGAGCGGAGCTTTCCCCTTGCATATGCACAAAGGATGTTTTAGTGCATGCCAAGACATCGTGGATACTCTCAGGAAAATGAATTCCCATCCCACTTGGAAAGATGCGAAAAAGCATCCAAGCTTCACTCCGAAATCCCAGCCAAAGCCGCGACATCAAGAGCTCTAGATTCCAACCCCGACACCCTGAAGTGTACACCCCAAGCTCCACGCCCTGAGCCCATGTCCCTACATTCAAAACACCCCCTATAAACCCTGAACCCGACCCCCGTAAACCCGTAATCCTCTGAACCCCCAAGCCCGAAATTCCCGACCCTTTAAACCCCAAACCGAGCCTCCTCTGGCTTTCAGAACCTGCAGCGCCAATACCCGAACCAGCTCAGGATTCAGTAACATCACGAATCTCAGTCTTATTGCTATGTCTAGTATGAATAAAAACCCATAGCTTTCATGTCTTGCTCGTATGTGTTTGTCTGTTGCGCTCACTATGGGTACTATTACTATTAGGCTGTTACTGTTCATTCTGACCATGCTGGAGCTGGCAAGGGCAGTCTCCAAACCGTGAACCCGAACGACCACACTCATGTCACAAGAGTAATTAGTTTAGGGTTTAGGCTGTACCGAAATCCTCAATCGGGACAGTGGCACACGACATCACAACATCGTGGCTGGCCACCGAAAGCCAAGGAACAGCTTGAACTAGCTCAGCTTTCTCGATGCCCACACCGCTTCTTAGCAGCAGCTGCGTTTCCTTGGCATTCAAGAGCATAGTTCTCAGGTGAGCCTGACTCTCACATTCTTAGACTTGCCAAACTCACACGAACCGAAGATCCCCCATTTATTTTCGGCTAAAGTCTTCTAGGCTTCCTATGAGACAGTGGCATGAAACAATTCCGGCTTCAGCGCCGGCCTCTCTGCTGCGTGCTAAGGAACTGATGCACTAAAACACTTGTCCAGGCGTCTCTGGTCTGGCTGCCGCCGGCAAATCCCAGATTCATGTCCTCAGCTTTGTCATCGCATGGCTCCAAATACCGCCCAGCGCGGCAGTGAGAAGACCAGATGCGCACTGACAAATGCACGAACGTGCAACACACAATTACGTCTAAAGTCTATGCACGCACCATCCAGCATACACGTGTATGTGCGTGTTCATCCATCTGCCTATCAGTATGTGTGTTTATACGTATATGCATATGCACATGCATACAAATAATATATATATACACACATACACAAACACATATTCAAATACATGTGTATATATATATGTGTGTGTGTATGTATTTATTTATTTATATACATATGCACATACACACATACATCTTCTTCCTTCAGGTCAAAGGGGCTTGTCAGGCCCGCCGGCCCATTGGGCCCCCCACGGCTTGTGGGGCTTTCGGGGGAAACAGTACACATACATCTCACTCTCTCTCTCTCTCTCTCTCTCCTAAATTATTATCTACCTACCTACCTACCTACCTACCTACCTACCTACCTGCCGACCTGCCTCACAAGTAAAAATGCGCGACGATGCAATCACTCGTCTCCGCAGTTGTTCTTCACTCATCGCGCATTCCGGCGAAGCAGTTCCGGCACAGTCCACACCCCGCAAAAATCACCGGACGGCCCGGTGCTTTAACAACACATATTTCCAGCGATGTAGTCGAATGCTGTCAGTCTCCCCTCGGAACCTTTGGAAATGCTACCGACCTCTGCCAAGCTGAGGCACTGCTTGCCGCTGAAGGCGTCGCAGCTCCTTGTCTCAAGAATGGGGTTTTTATATCAGCAGCTTAAGGTGGAGTCGGAAAGGAGTGACAAGAATGGAGCGGCAAGCTGCGGGACAGTTGCAACACATTCTGCTCTTATCGTATCTCCTGATTTCTCATCACCGGCACGACAACTACTCAGTAGTTACTACTGATCCGCTGCTACCATCACAAATCTGCAACCACGGCGGCCACCAGCACCAGCACCAGCACCACCCCCACCCCCACCCACAGCACGAACGATACAAACCAACGCAAGTAAGCAGGACAACGACGTTAATGACGACTGGTACAATTGCCCTGCTCGAAACTTCGAAGCCACTTCACAACTCTGTCTAAACCATCCCTTAAACCCACATCATCGCTGCATTGCTGCAGCAGTCTCCTCTTTCAGGGTCGCCACCGACCAACGAGTCAGCTCGTCCTCGCTAACCTGACGATGATGGTCAAGCACGGAGGTCTTGAGTTCTGATTTCCAGCATGTGCTCACCCATCAGAAGTTGCACAGTGCACTGTTAACATGCACACAGCACATAAGCTGCAGAGATACATGCCCGTAGACGTGAATGCCACAAGCCACATAATAAATTGCCAACCGGCAATATTCATGTCATGGAGTCATGCCCAGGTGCAGTTGCACTCAGCCCTCATTCCCTGTAATCAGAGCGATCACCGTTCGTTGCGCCGAGGATCGAAGGTCTCCTTCTGCAGCTTCTGGATTTCTGCAGAGCTCACACGAGGTCGTGGACGCCGTGTGTTGTTGGTGAACCACCTTGCAGTGGAGTCGGTCTTCTGCTTTGATTTCAAGGCGATCCGAGCGAAAAGGCTGTCTTCGAAACAATGCGCAGGCCCAACCAGGCTGAATGAGGGGTGCCGCAACTCCAATTGTTAGCTCAACAGTGTGTGAACGAGATGGACAGCATCTGCGTCTAGGGCTTTGTTGTCAGATTTCCCTGTGCTTGAACTATACTCACCAGTATTGGACAGCTCATTAGGAGAGCGGAAGCTATCTGCGGGGTACTCAACCATACATACAAAGCCTTGCCCAACAATACTGGCTTATAAGCTCTGCAAACCCTGCATACACTCATGCAGGCGAAGGCACAGACCACGTTCGGCGAGCCAGTTGATGAAGCGGTCCTGGTATGAGTCCCCCTCTTGACAGTAAAAGCCTTCGAAACTGGTGCCTGCTAGGATGACAGTCGTGTTGTGCCAAGGAGCAGCTGCGGCATGTATCTTCAAGTCTTGTCTACATGACTGTCTGCCACTCTCCTCAATGCATCTGAATTTTGCAAAGCTCAACGGGCCTTTAGCTACCTTTAGTTGCCCCCCTAAGCCTTCAGCCCGAAACCCTCCAGCCATTCATTAAATGCCCACAACATCTGGCACACAAACAACATCGGCAAGACCCCGGGTCCCTGGCAAAATTGGGCCTCTAAACCTTCAAGCGTAAGAACGATTGAGATCCGGGCTGCTTTTTTGTTTTATAGGGTTTGGGTTTAGGGATATACCAAAATTCCAAAACCCAAACCTGAAACTCCAAAATCTGAATCTAAAGCCTCTGAATCCCCAAGCGGCCTCTAGACGGTTTAACCGACGGATGATGCCGCGGACGAGACGGTGCTCGCGCAGATCGGGCCTGTCAGGCATTGCAGCTGATACAGACGTAACATCACTCCGGTATGTAAGAAGAGAGAGGGAGATAAAAGAGAGAGAGAGAGGGACAAATAAATGTATGTACAAAAGCTACTACATGAGGCATATACATATATATATATATATGTAAATATATATATATATATATACACACACACATCCATCCATCCATCCATCCATCCATCCGTCCGTCCGTCCATCCATCCATCCATCCATCCATACATCCTGCATGCATTTTTGCTTGAATGCATGCATACACACATAGGTGAAAGATTGCAAGCGGAAATAAACAATAAAGGAATGAAGAGGTATGTTTGTGTACGAGTATGTAAGATATATATATATGTTTATATATATGTACAAACGAATGAATGAATAAATGAGTGCATGGACGAGTGAATGAATGATTGGTTGATTGATTGAATGAATGAATGAATGAATGAATGAATGAATGAATAAACAAATAAATCAGCAACTTGATAAATATGTGTGTGTGTATATATATATATAGAGTACACAGTACACACATGATGATCCCGGTTCTCTGTTCGCCGGCCCCCACCCCGAAACATGGTACAGTATCCACCACCCACGCCGACGGTCACGAGGATCGCATCCCTATTCTTGTCTGACGGCTGCCGAGTACTTCCACTGGTTTCCACATTGTTGACATGGGCGGTTGCTAGAAAAGAACGTGCTAACATCATCTGCTAAAGTTCGACTAAAATGACTAAAATTTGTGAGTGGCATTACTGTCGCAGAATGCCCGGCAAATGGCCTCCGCTACCGCTGAACCGGTAGCGGAAAAACGAAACAAAATCAAAACACAACAAGCCGGGAAGGTCTGCAGGAAGACCCCGTCCATGTGGGCGTACCATGTGCTGCAAGACCGGTTGGCGATGACATGTTGTGCGCAACAGCCAACTGCCTAAGAAAACGCCTACGTCTATGAGGAAAGTGAAACCCGGAATCCCTGACACGACCCCCCCAAACCCCTCTGCCCTCAAACCCCTGAAATTCTGAAACTCAAGAAGCACAAAGCCCCAAAACCCAAGCTCAAAGAAGTCTCGAGCCGACTGGCTCCCCGGACCCAGAGACTCAGAAAAGGGCGGTTTCTTGACCAGTGTGTTGGGAAAGGGCTTCCATGAGAGTGTTGACAGGACTTCGGGTCTGCACAATGCCGAGGAAGTCATTTTTGAACTCCCTACCGTCCGAAACTTCCATGTTCCGCCTCCAATAGAACAGGGCAACAGCAGCAGTTAACATCATGCAGAAAACGAGGGTCACAATGGCGCACGAGGTGAAGAGCGTGGTCCTGAGACGGCTAAATCCCTGAAGTCCTACGCTACTTCGGCGTTTGGTCGGTCTGGCTAGGCATGACTCGAATTGAATTGACATGTCGACTGTCACAGCTTAAGGGGGCAGAGCTGAAGCTACATTATTGAATCCTGGTGGATAATGACGTCGAGCTGTTGACAGCATGGGCCCCACCTTCTCACATCGACAAACCATACAGAAGAACTCCGAAATGATGGCCGAGATGCCAGAATCCTGGCTGTGTGGCACTTGCCAAGCGTTCCCGGTTCCTCCCGCGACACATGGTTGGAGGCTAGCACGCTCGAAATAAAGCAGGGCATGCCTCCATTGATTGCACCAGCATGCGTTTGAGAACTTGTCCGACGAAAGGTCGGAGCCTCCGGCGCTCTAACGAAGCACGTTGCTGCCGGTAGATCCGGTCGAGTTCGATATCCTCAGCAGTCATTGTGACCAGATCTGTACTGAGCCACCCCCAACCCGCTTAATAAGAACACGTAGCCCCTTTTTAAGGCCTCGTAAGATCTAGCACAGATGTCGAACCCGTGTAGCCACTCTAGTTGCTTGGTTCCCAAACTGCTTTGGGGTTTTGAGGTCTCGAGCATTCCACACAAATTCAGCTTCAGTGCGTATTCGAGTCTGACCATGTAGGGACTACAAAGGGATGCTCTGAACAATTGCTCGGATTAGGGTTTTGGTTACGGTAACGGCTTCGGGTTGTTGGCTGGCACCGTTGGGTCCGTATCTCCAGCCTTCAACAGGAAAGGGCGGTCCAGCAGTCCCTTCAATACCTCACCCAGGTCCACCCAGAAGCCTGGCATCATTTCTGCCTGGAACTAACAACAAAACTAATTGGAACACGGCCATTCACACACGACTTTTGACCCCTAAACCCTAAACGAGCCCTGCAACGATTCGGGCAGGCTTCGGAGAGCTGGTATCTTGAAGCTGTACCTTGTACTCGCTCCTCTAGTTAAGACACAACTTGCAACCACGGTGATGGTGCGCCTCTCTTGCAAAAGGGCTACCGCAGCCTGGGTTCGCAGTCGGGCCGGAAACCCCGAACATCCCGACGAAGGAAACTTGTGCCCCCGAGGCTCTTCGTAGGACGTGTAGTAGCCATCATCACCGACATCTCCATTAACGAAGACATCCAAGATGTTGACGTTCGAAAGCAACATCGAGACAAGGAAGATGAGGCCCTGGGCACGGCGGTTCTCTTCTAGGCGGCCCGGGTACAGCTTGTCCAGCTCAATGTCAGCTCATGGGCCACATTTGGCTTTTGCAAGAGTGCCGTCTCCCATGCAGCCCCTTTTCGGTGCAGGTAACTCACTTGCTAGCAGGCTCCCTTAAAGCCAGCACGCTGGCCCGAAGCCGGCCCAATCCGACGATGAACACCAGAAAGGCACTGAGGCCCTGGCGGAAGCTGCGAGGGCTCCCGGGCTTCCCCCGACATAGATGAAAAAGACCATCGGAGCCTTCATCTGGGATTGGCATAAAGGTCATGGCTCCCCTTTTTATAGATCCGTGGGAGATGGACACATTGGCAGCCCAGCAGAAACCCAACACGGCCCGGATGCACTTCACCCAAAGATCACGAAGAATTTAGCCGGCACTGCACCCGGAAGCCACGAAACGCAGCTTTGAGGGTGCCGAGAGATTTCAGAACACCGGTATACAGGAAGCCCGCTAAACTTAGACGACTCGCCCCCCAGCAGTGCAGCAGCTCTGCCTGAAGACGTCAGGCCGTTACTGCGGAAGATCTGCTGTGCAAAGGCCAGCCTTACAGTACTGTAATGTGGGGGCTTCAATAAATTAGAATAAGGTTTTGGGGTATATAATACCAAAATTATAATAAGGACCTTTGGTGTATATTATAGTATAAGTCTACAAGTATAATAAGGACCTCTCAAAGTCGTATAGGTAATTAAGAAGGCCCCTGTATTAGGAACCCCAAGTTCAGAGGCCAGGGCTGATGTAAGGCAGCGGAGACCTCAAGGGACGAAGGGTGTTTTGCAGCGCCATGATATAATTGAGCATAGGGCATCATGTACCATATGGTAACCTTAATAAGATACGAGAGTATAGTATAACATCGCCAAAGCAGAATACATGGTATAATATACCAAAGTTGTCTATACTACAGTATAATATTCAGGACTCCGAATCGAAGCCTTCCGTAAACAAAACAATGGACGGCAGGCCTTGCCTTCAACAAACCAAAACCATCATGACGGATGCCGTTAGCTGTGAACGAGCTTTTGCTGTTTTGCTTTGCCTCAACAGCATGTCCAGCGAAGGAACGGCAGCAAGCAGCTTGCAGCACCACTGCGAGGACTAGTCTGAGTAGCCCTGGGACGGCCTGCTACCACTTCTGTACAACTACAACAAGTGCAACTGCAACTACCACCGCGACGACAACAACAACAGCTTAATTACATCCACCGCCGCCGCCACCACCGCAACGACCACCACCAGCACCACCACCACCACCAGCACCAGCAACACCAGCAGCAGCAGCACCAGCACCACCAGCACCAGCAGCACCAGCGCCAGCACCAGCAGCACCAGCACCAGCACCACGACGGCTACTACCAGCACTGGTGTGAGATTTGCAAACCTTTGCTGTCATTGTACCTTCGGTGGAATGAATGTTTTGCGGCTTCAACGATTCGTCTTCGTCCTCGCCGGTGTGGTTTTTATGCCAATCAATTGCGCCCAAGCTTCACTTTGGTGCCCGTCTTGCTTGCGTAGTGGCCACATACCTGATACAGTCCACACACGGCTTAGGCGTTTCAGGTTGCTACGTTGTCGTCTGGGTTTCGTCTCTGGTTTACAGAAGACTTCCACACAACCTGGTATCGAATCAATCGCACTTCCAAAGTCCCCATGCCCCTCCATGTTCTGGCGCCTGCGAGCCGAAGCAGGTGCACCATGGGGTCAGCAGGTCGTCACGGTCGGGCATCTCCTCCACGGTGCAGACTTCCGGGTCTGTGCTTACACAGTCACAGTGGGAGTGAGACGAGAACCACCGCAAGAAGGCAGAACCTGTCACAGTTTGAAAGAACTACCGGAAAGTTCCGCAGGGGCAGCAGAAGAACAACCGCGATGTGCATCAAACGTTTTACATTTCAGGTATTCAGGCTTGGGTCTGGGTCAACGCCCCGTTTGAAAGCCTTTGGTGCAGAGCCTGACACCCTCTTCTGCTAATTTTGAAAAACCTGCAGCCGTGAACGAGGTCCCGACGAATCATATCAACATAAGACCCCTAAACCCTAAACCCTAAACCCCTAAACCCTTGAAGCCCTTAAAACCCTAAAACCCCCAAGTTACATCAGTCTGATTTCATGGAGAGCCCCTTCACAGGCTCTTGAGCCTCCTTTTGGCCATCAAGCGTGGAAAGTTAGATGCTCTCAGAACTTAAATTCATAGGACCTGAATTTTATGATTTAAGGTGTATTCCTTAATTAAGGGGTATTGGGCTCTCTGGGCTCGACATGTGGCCTGCGCCCATGGTTTGAAGTCCTAGAGATGAGCCTCTTCGCAAGGACTTGTGGAAGTCTCCAGCCCTAAAGCTTGGCTGAGTTCTGAGCCCCTCCTAAAAGTCAAAGTTTGAGCCTCCTTACTATAGTTTACATAGAACCCTAAAAGGTTAAAGTCATAAGAGCCAACCAGAAGAGCGCCAAGAAATCACATGCTTGCGCTCCTCTGCAGACTTCCCGGCGATCTTTCGCGCGGCCGCTAGGGACGTGGCGCCAATCGGGTTCCCTGAGAGTGACATAAAGGGCTCTAGGGCAAAAAAGGTACTGTAAGGGTGTAGGGTTCTTCGGATGTTGGGAGAAAGGGTTTGGGATACCAGACCCCCGGAAGCACCCAAAAACTGGGCTCCTTAAGGGGTTCCTATAAAGTACCCTTTAGTAGCAGAGGGTCCCAAATTAGGGATCCATTTTCTAGATCCTCCCAGAGGTCTGGGAATAAGGGCCCTAAGCCCAGACCGCCGGGAGAATCCAAAAGATAGATCCCCACGGTTTAGGGTTTAGGAGTTTAGGGTTTGTGGTTTTTCCCCGAATTTGGGACCCTATACTACTAAAGGTTACTTTATACGTTAGCTGCCAGGGTCGCATGAATAGGTACCTCTAGCAAAAACCACTAGGGAACTTGCACGTTACTTGCTGTAGGGGCCTTAATAATTAGAATAGGGTTTTGGGCTCCTTTAGAATATAGATAATAGGGAATGTTAAGGAATGATATTGGTAGTTATTTAGGCTTCTATATTAGAGTTTGAACCTAAACCCTAAACCCTAAACCCTAAGCCCTAAACCCCTAAACCACCCCGGGAGATCGGACAAGAGGCTCCGGGGTACCAGAGAGCCCACTACCCCTGAATTAAGGAATAGACCCTTAAATCATAATACTAAGGCCCCTATACTTTAAGGCTATAATCCTCAATTAAGGGGGTATGTGGGCTCTCTGGGTAGTTGATGAACCCTAAACCCGAAACCCTAAA